ATATATATATATATATATATATACATCTGTATACACATATATTCTCTTTCATTTATATCACATCAAAGCAAATAAACAAAACAAGAAGAAGAAGGATCAGCAGCAGCAGCAGCGGCAACAGCAGCAGCAGCAGCAACAGCAGCAACAGCAGCAGTAACAGAAGCAACAGCAGCAGCAAGCAGCAACAGCAGCAGCAACAGCCGGTGATAAAGTAGGTGGTGTTGTTCGATTTTTTGTGTAATTAGCACTTAATACATTTTATATAAAAGTGTTTTAGTGTTTTATTTAAAAAGAGAAATAAAAAACAGAATTGAGGTGTATGTACACTGCGTGGTGTTGTGTCGCTGGTGGCGGTTTGGTTGGTGTATGAGCACCACCACCGCGGGCCAGAAAGCAGAAAAAAGAGAAAAAAATAAAAACTAAAATACGAAATAAACATTTAAATTATATTTTAATTTATATTTTTAAATTATTTTTCACAAAAAAAAACAAAGAAAATACAAACAAACCACCAAGCAGCCGAAAGCAACCGCCGATGCTCTCTCTTATGTCGAGAAGAGTTTCTGAGTGATGAATTTGTGTATTTCTTGGGTGTACAGACACCGTAAAAAAGAGAATAAAAAGGATATTTATATAAAAATAAAGAATAATATTAATTTAAAAAGTATAAATTCAGTTTTATACCGCATATCTAGCTGCTGCTGCTGCTGCTGCTGCCGCAGATGGTTGCTGCTGCGGCCCAGCAGCAACCATCCATCGACCCTCGCTTGTTGGCTCTGCATATACACCGCTGCATTCTTTGTTTGTTTTTTATTTGCCTATCAGTTCATCTTTCTTACAAAGGAGAAGCATTTTGCGTTTATATTTTATAATATTTATTGATACATNCCTATCAGTTCATCTTTCTTACAAAGGAGAAGCATTTTGCGTTTATATTTTATAATATTTATTGATACATTATACAGCGCAACTGCTGCCTCGTGAGTTTTCTCTTTTTTTCTCTTTTTTTTCTCTTTTTCTCTTTTTGGGTGACCTCGGCGTGAACACCGGTTGCCGATGCAGAAACCCCAAAACTAGCTGTATTTTCTCGTTTTTTTTATGATTATGTTTGTTGTTTTCTTTGTTTTCATGTTTTATTTTACTAGTTTAAACTCAAAAGATGCTTGGTGGCTGTAAGGTTACCCTATAAACCGTAGCGGTGCATCGACGAGCGGTCGTGCGTCAGCCAGACGTGCTGGGGTGTATAGGCAGCTCGTTTGTTTTTTTTCTGTGTATCTGCATTGTGATCAACTTTGTTCTTCTTTTTAAACAATTTAACCTAAAAAATACACAAATTCATCGCAAACAAATGCAGAAACACAGAGAGGCCCGTGGTGGTGGTGGTGTGTGCTCGGGTGTATCTGCAGCTGCAACCTGATTCTGTGTTGGTTGTTGTTGTTGTTTGTGTGTATATAGCTTTCTAATATTAAATTAAAATACATGTTTATTGTTTGTCTGTCCCCTTTGAGTGAATATTCAAATATATAGGAGTAAATTACTCTGTGTGCGTGTATGGGTGTGTGTGTGTGTGTGTGTATGTTTACGTTTCTATGGTATTTTTTTCTTTTTTTTTTGTTTTTTTGTTCAGCTATAACCTACTGAAGATGGCTTTGTGGTACCTTGTTCCCATCATCTCTGTTGTGTCCTCCTCTTGGGGGGGAGTTGAGGGCTTCGGTAAGAACCAGGGCGGAGCTACCGCTGTCCCTGCTGGCCGGGCAGTAACGATTGGTGAATTGGATTCAGTTATGAATAACATAAGAAACGGCGTAGATGCAGGAGCTGTCATTGCTTCAGGTCCTCTGCCTCTCCCCTCATCGAAGGGTAACAACAGCGTCTTAGTATCGAGAGGGGCATTCACTCCTACTGTTGCAAGCAGCAGCACCCCAGCCACCGTCAGCACCT